ATCTGGGCACGACTGCTGGCGTAATCCCTCGCCGGAGTAGGTTAAGGTACTACACGATGCTGTGTTAGGGACCTCCGTCACGTTTGTCAGGGTTTGCGCACAAATCGAGCTAATAAGTTGCCGGTTGGCTCTAGGGTTAGTGTATCGTGGGCAACCCGGGACAGCAGTGGTCATCCACAACCCGAATGTGGAATCCGTGGCTGGTCACTGACGGAGGGCGGAGAAATCCTATAAAAAATATCCCCATCGATCAGGAGATTCGTTGTGGTAAAATGGTGGTTTATCTCACATGGGGGAGCCTCTAACTTAAACGTCTAACAGTGGGTTAAGGAGCGCGCGCTACTAGCGCCGACGGACGGCATCTCACCTGATGGCTGCTTACCTTTCGGACAACGACCGATTCTTGGGCCGAGGATCTATGGGATACAATACTCTCTGGATGAAATCTACCATCTTGGTTGGCTTAGGCCACGCGGGACTTTGGCGGTATTCCAAAGAGAGCAAATGCTGCCATAGTGAAGAAGAAGGAAGAAGAAAAAGAACTCTACTGACTTACAACAGAAGTTGGCCCAATATCACTGGGTACAACAAATATTGCCCCTCACAATGCAGCCACCGATACTGCGGTTCTCCGCGGTATTATGGAGCTATAGGGTGGCTTAAAGGCCGGTCGGCAAGCGTCTGGCATGCAGCCTATTGCTAATAGTGGGTCGGCCATGATGCACAAAGAATTGGGGGGGGGGTTCTTGAGTAAAAATTATTGCACAGGTTCCAATATAATAAGTCTCAAAGGGACTTCGGAAGATAGCCAAGTGTCTGAAATACACGGTGGAATTTTCTGCATCATGCAGAAATTAGGAGGCAGTATTCAGCCCCGGGGTTGAAAAACGTTTCTGCAAGTACTGGACACGAGTTGAAGGGTTTTGGTGTGAGTATCATATCATACCGGTAACGCCTTTTTTGTCTAAATCTTACGGACCCACCCCAAACTTGTTCTCGAAAAAAGCTTTTTCGACCCCGCGGCTGAATGCATCTAATAGCCTTTGGTCATACAAAGCCATTATCTTGGCAGGTATCGCGCGTCCGCAGGGAAGAATTAATCACTTTTCCATCCCAGTTGGGCTGCAAAATCTGAAAAGTCATCTTGGGTGAGCTTAGGGTAATCGACTTTTTTTGGTTTTCCATTTTTCCCTTTTTCCCTTAAATTTTTCTTTCAACAAAACTCGTTTAACCTGCTGGATCAAAAAACTCCGATTTTGATGTGTCTTTGGCCTGTTTTCCCTACCGGTATTTAACGGCCCATATTGGCCCCCGATCCCGCAAGTAACTCCTTGGACTAACTCGCGATAGCTTTCCCGCACAAAAGCAAAAAGAGTGCTTTGGCAGAGGGAATGATATTTGTTTTTTTCCCCTCTGCTGAGCTTTAAACGCCATAGAATTGCCCGGCGCCACCATTGGCTCGAGAATTTGACCAACACAATGCAGAACGCCCTCACATTGTTAAAACTCGGGCGCTCTGCACAATACGAGCAGGCATACCGGGAGGTACGCTCGAGGGCTTAACGCCACGAAAAGTTTCCCAAGTGCAATACAGTACAGAACTCGTATTAACCTAGCGGTGAGATACGGTGAGATACGCCACAAAGAGCGCTGAAGCTACTCGAGTACCGCATTATTTCGATTAAACTATGAGCTTTGATGTGGGTCTTGCGCCTCAACGCGGAGTGACTTCCACTCCCGAGGGAGGGAGATAATCCTCCCGTTAGATCGCCGAGCTCGAAGCACAAAGGGTCCATCGTAGTCATATCTTCACGTCCCTCTCCGGAGCCCAACTTGTTCGGTTGGTTGGTTGGACGTTGGTGTGACCGTGTTGGGGCAAACACGGTATGGTATCATACCGTAGCTCCGACGCCATTCCATGTGGGTACCAAATCGTTGGTATCCTGTAGCGATGATGGGCGGTCACGAATTTCGCCAGAACCGTGGGTCGGGGTTTCACTTAGTGGTACGGTGCTCGGGTACGGGTGCATCAGAAAAAGCATAATAGGGAAGAAGTACCCACTACTCGAGTATATGAGGCTTCAAATTCAGAAGAGGCGCTTAGATACGCACATACATATGCCACAATCCCTTTCAGCCGGAACAGATCTAGAATACCTCAGAAAGGGATGCGGCAGTTGACCCCTTGAATTACCTGCTCTAGCTATTACATTTTCAATTGAGACCAGTCCGGTACGGCATGTTCCGTCGGCTGCGATTCAACAACAGATATCATGTGGCAAGTATACCCAACCAGCAGCTTTGGGAAGGGGGGAGAAGAGACCTCTCTCCGAGAAGTTTGTGGCCGGAGGCCGCCAAAATACTACCACCACAGTACCGGTACATCACGAGTACTAACATCATACGACAATCCTCCCGCATGGCTAGAGGGTGCTCCCAGTCAAAGACAGTTCCAGAAGCCTTTCAAGCCAACCCCCCCGGAGAGCTTAAGCTGAAGATAAGAAAAATTTACTCGAGGAGTTGGAATGGGACGTTATGGGGGGTCTAGGATTTAATGAAGCGGGTACTACATTGTACTCGATTCACGGATGCAGTTGTCAGATATCGGAGATGCGCGGATTAGAGTGTCTAAGACAGTAAATCCGGAATCTAAGCCCACGTTGTTGGCCTTTCACGGGATAGCCGGATGTCTCATACTTCCGTACTCGTTCATAAGCACATACTGTAGTCCCCGATCCTATTGCGGGGCGCTCTTCGGAGAAGGGACTACATGATTTGCTTTTCTTTACATATCCCCTCTCCACCCGTGCAGTCAGGAGATATAAGGAGCAGTTTCAATTGGTTGGAATGCGGCCAGCGACCCGAGGGACGCGGAGTACCCCAGAGTGATATTGTGGTAAGACCGCAGACCTGGTGTCATGCTTCACACAGAATGCGGGAATCGGGGTCTGGAGAATTGGGACACTGGATCCGCGGTAGGAGAACCGATATTCGAGTATCCTGATGCCCACCAAGAGCACTCGGCTACCGACTCCCCTCCAATGCTCTAGTGGGCCGTCCGCGTGTCTCCTAGAATGGGGTTCACCGAATGTGGCGTGATATAATTCCTGGGATTTTCAGTCATGGGCTGCCATATCCCAAGCCAATCGGCCCTCTGGTCGATAATGTTGTAGCGCAATCTGGTATACTTGTACGCCCTAAAGATTCTGGGTAATCAGCACGGCACGAATTCTGCCCCCATGCTGATCAACTCACTGCCGTGCCTCACCCCCCGAACCGCGGCCTTGGTTATTGTGTCACCTGGGCGCCCCCCCCGTGCTGGTATGGGCTGGCCGATATGGATTGATCGGGGGAGTGGTTTCGTTCAACGCCTACTCTGTGGTGTATTGTAGTATCACTATGTTATTATACGACGGCGAAGCCCACAGGGCAAAAGGGCACAACTGCAGTCCGTCTAGCGGTCAGGGCACACTGTGCCAGCTAACGGGATGTCAACCTACCACCATACCGTAAGAGAAAATCCATCAAGCTACGGTATGACAGCCCATCCTTTAGTCGTTCCAGGGGGGGGGCAGACTGCAGAGAATCGACAACTTGAGCTATGATGATACCCCCGTGGTATTCCGTAGAGGAGGAGGGTACGAAACTTTGCTATAAGACCCACACTTTTCTTCTCGACTCGGACCTACCCTCCCTCTCTCTCCTTCATCATTCTTCATATCTCTCGCCCTCCGAAGTTCAAACAAAGATAACCCACCCGCTTCGTTTAAAATGCCCCACTCTGAACCCCCCGTTCCCTCTATCGGTAGCACCTTGACATACCACTCATACTCCGAAAGCACCCTTCTTAAGAGCTACGTCCTCGAGGAGAGCGAAACCCCCGAGCCCACTCTCACCACAAACACCACTTCAAATGACCACGATCGAGAACACCTTCCGACCAGCACGGCCGGACCCACCACCACCACCACCGCAGCCACATCCACCACACACCTCCTCAGCCACATGCACCTCTCACCCAACCCAAACCCGAACCCCCAAAACCATCAGACGATACACTACCCCCCACACCCCTCTCCATCAACAAGAACCCTACCACCAACCGCTGCCACAAGCCTCCACGCCCTCCGCCAAAGTCTCCCACCTGTACTCTCCCACGACCTAGACCTAGATCTAGCCCTCCTCCTCCAAGAGCGGCCCTCGACAGTATTCACGCTGGACAAATTCTCCGTCAGGAGCATCCCCACAGAAGAGTTCCTACCTAGACCATACTTTCCTCCAGCCGCGCAAGAACACGAACTGGGATCGGGGAGGACAGCGCAGAGCGGATATGCCATACAAAGGTTTCTAGGCGCTGGGATGGGAGAGGAGTCTAATGTGGTTTATGCAAGGAGCGTTGGAATTGATACTAGGATGTTTGGCACTTGAGGGGGGAGGGTAATGACTGAACTAGTAGGGTTTTTTTTTTTTAGTTCAGTTTACATAATTATGATCTGGTATCAAATGCTTATGTGAGGCTGACAGTACTCGAGTAAGGGGGTTTTTGGAACGAAAATTCTGTATTGTACATAATTTTATTACCATTTTTATCTCGTAATTCACTTACTTGTGCCGTCTTGTTAGATTTTGGGAGTACAAGGCCCGGTTTACGGTGTAGCTATAATAGCTCATCTATGATGGATAAATACATACTACCCGTGTATGAACTCAGGGTAGGTTAACCAACACGGTGCTGGGGAAAGGATGTCCATTGCCTTAATTGCGCCTCGGAGCTCTCGAATTTATGAGGGGTTAGCTCCTATAGGGTGAAAATGGTATGGTATCTGTCCGTCTGAGTCTCAAAGACGCGGAAGTCAATACCCGGCGATATAACTTCACAGGGAAAATACGCTATCGTACAGTACTTGCACCATATCGCACGAATAAAATTATAGCGGGATCAACAGTTCCAGTTCATCGGAGGTGTATGATCCGATGCCTTGAAACACCAATTCCAACAATAAAGCAAAACAAAACCTAATAATTTATTTGTTGGCATTTTGTTTTCTCAATCAAGAATAAACAAGAATACATTGTTTCCAGGAAAAAAAGGAAGAAGAGAACTACAGCTCGCCATGCCCCTCCTCCTCCTCCTCAACAACAACTCCGGCGGGCAACTTCTCCTTCGCGCCATCGCCTAGCCTCATAGCGTCCAGCCAAGCAAGCACGTCCTCCTCGCTATCCAGGTCGCCACCAAACTTCCTGAGCCATCCGCGGCGCGCGTTTAACGCAATCAACTTTGCCCCGTCACCCACCATGAGTAGCTTCTCGGCGAGCTCCTGGGTATGGGCAGATCCGGCTGGGAGAATGTAGACATTGAAAGCGCCGGCAGGGCTGCGGGAGAGGAGTTTGTTGTAAACTTCTGTGAGGACGTTGGTGGGCGCTGAAGAGGAGATGATTGCCAGGATGCAGGTCTTTGATTTTGGTTGGAGACAGGCGGCGGCGAGGGAGTTTTGATCCTCGAGGGAGGGGATTGTGAGTTTTGCTGTGAGGAGGGTTATATTTCTGTAAGTGTGTATGGATGGGCAAATGGTACTTACGTTTCGGGGTTGGAGTTTCCTTGACAGTGGGGGTCTTACTCTCTTGGGTAGTGCCCGAGGTTTCCTTTTTGCTAGGATCCGCTGAGGAAGTCCCCTCGGTTAGTGGCACAGTGGCCTGGAAAAACTTTAGCAACGCATCCTTCGAGAATCCGCTGCCCCCATAAACTATTCCCTCCGCATCTCCGCCTGGCAAGAGCACAACTGTGGGGTACTTGGTAATACCAAAAACCTCGACTGCGTGCTTCTCCTTGTCGCGGATCTGAGCAAAGCCCATAGTCCCAAGATAATCAATTGCTAAAGCTTTCCAGAGAGGCGTGGTAGTACCTTTGTTGGTAAATAAGATCGCCTTCGCAGTTTCGTTATTCTTAGAGAGGAAGTCGTCAAATTTGGCGTCCGTGACGCGAGTAACATGGTTCGGAATGAGCCCGGCGACATGGCTAACGATAGCGCCGGCTTTCCGGGCACCCTGGTAGTCTTTTAAGTGTAAGTAATTGGCCCCCTCCTTCACAATTGGTCTGATTTTGCTTGCGCACCTTCGATGATTGGTTTCCCCTTCCCCTTTCCCGGCTTAAAGACCTTCAAGGTGGGAAACCCCTTTACATTGTATTCCTCGCAGAGTCTTTTGTTCTTTTCTTCATCGCAGTCAATTGCAGCTACCTTTGCGAGGCCCTTGAGTGATTGAGCGGCCTTCTCATATATCGGTTTAAGGTTTTGACAGTGCCCGCCTACAGAAAACGTCAGAATACAAATCCTCACAAGAGAGCTCTCGGGGAGAGTGGTAACCGACACCATGGCGCAAAGAATCTTTTTCATGGAAAAAGTCTATCTCAGCATCTTCAGAATACACCAAAAAAGAGGGGAAACCGTGAGTGGGTTGGGTTGGCAGGAGTTTTACTCGACAATCTACCACCCCCGGCAACATGATTAGCTTGCTAGCCCATCGACAATCCAATAACGGTAGCATCAAACAGGGGGCGGCAACGCACAGAAGCATGCTCAGTATTTAAAATCTCCTTCTCGAAATTCTTCGAATCAAGCGTGATAACTCCGCTAGATTTCCCATAAAAGGCACTGGCACTGCTAGCTAGAGCAAGGAACGTTGCGAGGGAGAGCTCTCGGAGGAGAACCATAGTTGTGTATTTTTATCGCTAATGATGATGATGGGTTCGAGGGTGGTGATATTGGACGAAAAGAATGAAGAATGGATAGAGAAGCAAGCAGAGAATGAGGAGCTAGAAAAGAGTGGTTTAGGCAGTGTAAATGCCACCTATACGAGACCCATTCAGAGGTTATTAATTGTCGGGGTTGATGAGGACACCTGGAAACTTTCAAACAGAATATGGGGGGGTGCAGGCTTGGCATGCTCAGAGAAAAATGAGGACTTGAAATCAACCCTGGTGGGTACACAAAATTGTGGAGCTTGGCAAAAGTAACTTCTAAAAGGACCGTACTGCACATGGGATCCGAAATTTTATGATCCTCGCTAACATCGCTCTGATTGAAAATCAGAAAATATAGAATTATATAGGAGCGCCCTCTAAGCACTTCTATCAAGCCATATCTTTCTAAAGATGTGGATGTGGTTGAAAATTTTCGAAAATTATTCCTGTGTTGGCTTTTGGTTGATCCCAGCATCATGCCGGGACCATACCATGGAAACAGTGGAAGGTGGCTAACTCCGTCCCAGGATCTTTTAACTCCGGGCCAGCAGGATTGAGGCCTGGTAATGAAATGTGATTGGCGGGGAAGAAAAGACACCAGTTTTTGAAGCACTGGTGGTTTGTAGCAGAGCAATCGTAACATAGAAGAGAAATAATGAGCTAACAATGAGCGGAGGAGACAGCGAACAATACACCGGTGGCAAACGTCAATTCTGTGAAGGCCATTCACTACCAGTATCCCCATAGCTTCGTTATCCCCTGCCATTGTCCCTCTACCCCGTCAAAAAACGACTATTACTTTTAGTATCATCACCCTAATGATCTACTTTTTTCTCCTTTCCCCTCCCTTGTTTTTAGTCTGCTTTCCATGCCTAGCTATACTTACTCATTATGAGAAAATGTCCTACAACTAAGAGGCGGAGGGACATGGGGAAATAGGCTTCGCTCTTTGCCCGGTACTCGAGTGTTCACGCGTCTTCACCAAGAATACCTCTGAAGCCGAATATTTGGAGGGATCCCGCAAAATTTCGGCTAGCGGAGACATTCCCGACGAAGATGCGTGAGTACGATACTTTGCCATTGAGGTACATTCGTGAGACATCACTCTACCAAGCAGAGTGCCAGGGCACGTCCCTACCGATATCATACTTAGACGGAGTTGGCCGGCTTCCTCGGTTTCTACGGTACGGGCATGATAGCATCAATTGCTTGGCCCCATACAAGGGCACGTACCCTAAACACCTCCGCCAAGCTATTGATTGATTGTGATCTCCCAGATCGGGAACTGACATAGATAATTCAGCTACTATGATAATCAAAACATTGCGTAATTAGGCCAAATCTGTGGTTTCGGAATTATTAAATACAAGAAGGTTGTGCAGTTACAAACTCATAGCACCGAATTGGCTCCTTGGAGGCTTGGAAGTTCGGAAATTACTATGGAAGGATTTACGTTGAATATGATATTCACCTCATTGCTGGCCTTGTCACTGTATACACCGGAAATCACTTGACCAGTTCTAGCTCCCTCAGAAATGGGTCTACTCCGCCCTTATTGGAGCATCGCCAAAACAGATTGAAAGTATGATGATTTGATATATCCTGAAAACAAAACTAGATAATTCTATGCATAAAGATGTCCATATGCGGGGAGCATTGGGGTACCTCAATTCATAGGTAAAGGGGAACCACGAATGAGCCTGGGGGAGGGTCACGGCCAAGAGCAGAAATTCAGTGATATCAAAAAATAGCCGAGAAAAAAAAAACCCCTGGCTGGCATGAGCATACAGGTATATCTCAGGTAATCCAAGGTCCAGTTGGTAGAAAAAATTACAACGACACCAGAAGACCCCAGTATAATGTAGAGGAAATCCAAGGGGAGCATTGCCACACTTGGAGGTTTTAGTCTAGAGAACCAATCTCTAAAGTAAGTCCCAAGCCGACTACCCTGGAATCCAAGTCCGAATGCCAGCACAAAAGGATTGGATATCGAGAGACTTATGCATGATTAGCTCAAAAACTTGTCGATTAAGGGTTTCTAGGATCCTCGGCCATTTCATTAAACCGACAGATCACTCACTTGTAGATCCAAGTAATGAAAAAACCAACTCGCCGTCTTAATTGCTCGTTCCCCTGTTCTGCAGCCTTCCCGGCCTACAAGGGTCGAGAAGTACAGAGGGATTTTGCTCATCTAGGATGATGTCTTCCGCACGCAGTTTCCACGTTCTAAGCCCCTGCTAAAAGTCTACATTACCTTCCCTCAAGGACCTGCTTGGCACGACACCAAAAAAATCAAATTTTTTTTTGCGTAAAATAAATTTTTACTAAAACCCAAATACTTTTTAGCTAAAGAGCCAAGAAGAATCCATATTCGAATATAGCTACCGGCCATTATGGCGGAACCGATGAGGCCTGCAGGCGATCCCACGATAGAAAAAACCACAGGATATCTTCTTTGCAACCAAAACATTGAAAAGGCCAGAAAACTTTTGTTTTTTGTAATAATATCGTGCTAATCAGGGCGTAAGAAATCCTCTATCATACATCTCCCGGAGTATGAGAGTGGCGCCCCATCGGAGACCTTTAAATATTAGCTCTAGGCTAGGGCTCACCGGAGTCGAGGAGTCCCGGAAAATCTTTATTCCGACTTTTATTAGCGTATCCGTTGTTAGCCTTGACCTCCCTGCCGCGTCCTGCCTAAACCATAACAAACCATCCTCTCTACCGCCCTCGAAATTTCACTGTTGGGTGAAAGAACAACTATAATGTCCGCTTACGCTCCTATCAAGAGGAAGCTCTATACCCTCATAATTCCCCTGGACCTTGAGAACAAGCGGATTCTCCTTGGTTACAAGAAAAGGGGGTTTGGAATGGGAAAATGTGAGTCACATCTTCCCTCGTTTGGATGAAATTGGAAAAATCAAGCTTATGGCTAACAATGGCAGACAATGGCTTTGGTGGAAAAGTAGAAGAGGGTGAAACCATTCTTGAGGGAGCAATTCGTGAGCTACAAGTTTGTGGACCTTTGACCTACTTGCATCTGCGAAGCTAAAGCTAAGGGTGGTGAACAGGAAGAATCTTGTATCAAGGGTATAGACCTCTCATACCATGGAATTTTATTCTTGGAGGCAATTGCAGATGCAACTCTACCGATACTGGAAATTCACGTCTTTAGTGCAACCAAATGGGAAGGAGAACCTGCTGAGTATTTAGCCTCCCATCTATTACCTCGATCGATTGATTCCAACTCCCTCTTTATTTAGGACCGAAGAGATGAGGCCAGAATGGTATCCAGCATCCCCGGATTACACTGGCCCCGTGGTTGGTGAAAAAATACCATTCACCCAGATGTGGGAGGAAACAGTGGAGTGGTTACCTCTTCTGCTGAATTCGTATTTTGGGAAGGACGGCGGCGTAGAGCACGGGAAACAGAAGCAATTAGTCCATCACGTCACTTTTGGAAGGGCCATGAATCCTGAGACGGGGCTCGGGGATGTCTGGCATGGAATGTTGGACAACTACTTTGTTTGGGTCGAGGATGAGGGAGGAATACCAAAGTTGGAAGGTTGGGAGAGCGAAGCACGCGGTGCCTGGGTTGAAGAGAGGAGAAAAAAGAGATTCGGGCTTTGAGAGTTGCTTCTATAGTGCCTTACATTGTTCATTTTGCCTAGCATATATCATAACACATTTTAATCGAACAATCTCCCATCGAGGAAATACCTACATTTTCAGAGAGATCAAGGTATGGGTGAATTTTCATGATGAAGACTGGGGCTTTCGTCCGAACATTCAACTCCAGGAACAAGTGCAATAAAGCACGAACCTCACCTGGTTTAACTGCACATGCACATGCAAGTAGGCACAATCCCACCGTGCCCGGGGGCTCACACCCATCATCAAGGCTTCGGTGTAGTAATGACACGACCGAGAGAGTTGGCTTTAGGGCAGTTGGACATTTTTCCTGCTACGTGGAACTGTGCTTTCATTCCTTCTTTCAGTGTAGCTGTGCGAGCCTGACCCCTCGGGAAGCCTTTCTAAGAGTTGGCAAGCATACTCGTACCAATACACGTGACATCGAATTTTCCCATCATCCGGGAAAGTGAAGCGCTCTCGAATCGTCAATCAGAACTCACCATGATACGGATGCCACGGTCACAGTACCTCTGCCTCAGAGATTTAGAGCCTTCCCTTTGAATCCATTATCTTCGAACCCCGGTACCTCGTGCAGGAGCACCGCCAACACGGGGCCGGTATATTACGGCAGACCACGGGCGTGCCACCAGCGGATAGGGGTGGGCGCGACTTTCAGGTTCCAGAGATGAAAATTCATATCTTCACAAAAATATGATGCCGCCTACTAAAGTACCCCCCTCTCGACACAAGATGTCGCCCATGCGGCTCCCTGTCTGGGCACAAAGGCATGGTACAAGTATCATATTATACAGCAATTCGCGCAAGTAAATCCTAGATAGGTTTGGACCGAGGAAACATGGATTAATATCCGATTATACCATGGTCAACTGCACCCACGGCTTACCTACCCGCCGCCGCAAGACATCCCGCGAGAGATTAAGTTACAATAGAATATTATCCATAAGAAAAGAAAGTATCAAAAATCAAGAATAACCGGATCTGCAGTTTAAAAGGGCGACCACGTGCCTCGTTACTAGCCTCGGTCGGTGTTCCTGGCTTTGAAGCCTAAATACAACGTCATTCCGCTGCACCAGGTTCTCTCCCTTTAAAATCCAAGCGACAAGTATCCGCCCCTATCACCGTGTCTTTGCTTTACAAACCATTCTGACAGAGAATGTCGTTCCTATCACGCTTGAATTTGATCCCCCAATTCCCAACATACCCCGGCCCTTACCATGTTGGCTCATTCGAACTAGAGATTCCGGCATCGTCATTGGAGCCCACCTCCAAGCGGTCGCCACCAGATACTAAGGTCGAAACAGTACAGTTTCGGGTTTTTTACCCAGCAGAAAAGCCCGATTCAGCAAATACAACGGGATGGTTTGGTAACACGGCAAAGAAATCCATCAGATGGCTTCCCGAACCATATCAACGGGAGTACCTGAGCGGCTACGCACGGTTTATGGGAGTAAGCTCTAGGTTCGCGGAAATAGTTTCGTATGTAAACTCCCCCTTCCCCCCGGATGACCTGGGATAACAAGGTACTATACAACCCTAACCAAGGTCAAGCATAAAATAGGTATCTTCCCCGAGCACTCTACTACATTTCGTTACCAGCGACAGCCAATGCGCAGCTATTAGGGGGGAAACCACCGGAGTTTAGATTCCCGACCATGGTTTTCTCGCACGGCCTTGGCGGAACGAGGCTGGCGTATTCGCACATCTGCGGCTCCATCGCCTCCTATGGCGTGATTGTGGTTGCGCCCGAGCACCGTGATGGAAGCGGTCCGGTGAGCTTCGTCAAAGTGCCAGCAATGAAGGGCGCCCGCGTTTCTGGGGGAAAGTCTGAAGCAGGAAAGCCTGATGTTAATGAAAGCTCTGCGAAGGCCCCAGTGAAGGACACAAACGGGAGGATTCAAGTGGACTATAGAGCTTATCCTCACCAAGTCTCTGCGGAAACGGAGAATGGGAGAAACAAGCAGCTTGAGATTCGCTTGTGGGAATTAAGTCTCATTTATTCGGCACTTTCTAAAATCGATATCGGAAAAGTCCCCGAGGACGCGATTATGTCTAGTGATGAAGGAGAAATCAATGAAGGAACAATGAGTCCTGAGGCAAAAAATCTATTATCAACCTTCAAAGGAAATTTGGATGTTAAAGACCCGGGAAAGCTGATCTGGGCTGGTCACTCCTTCGGTGCTGCGACCATGATCCAATTTCTCAAAAGCGTCTATTACCCACCTCCGACGAAACCGTCAATAAACCCCCTCTTGGCCCTAGATGCTTCTCTCCCCCCAAATTCCTTCGATGTTCTGCCGCTTGGCAAGCAGATAACAGCCACATCGCCTCTCCTCCTCCTGGATCTGTGGTGCCTTCCGCTGCTGGGCAAGCGAACAAGCCACCTATTCAAACAGCCCCTCCCACAAATATCAAATAAACCAAACCTTGTCTTAGTAATAATGTCCGAGGAGTTCTTTCGCTGGAAAGAAAACCTCCGTGGTGTGAAGCGCATCCTCTCCCCAGAGCCGGGCCAGAAGAGAGGTACGCCCCACCACGAAATCTTCGAAAAGTGGGACGAGGAAGATACTGGAGATGCTAGAGACACCGCCGCTCACGAAGATATGTCAAAACACTTCCATCCAAATAACGACCTCCTCTCACCATCAATATCACCGGCCGTTGGATTATCCTCTACTCCCGACCAAGGCGGCCAAATTATACCGCCAACAGCCACTCCTTCACCCACTCCGGAAAGGCAGCACAAGCACCAACATCACGTAGTTAAAAATAGAGAACCACGCTTTTACTACGTCAGGAAATCCGCACACCTATCGCAGAGCGACTTTGGAATACTTTTCCCGGTAGTCGCGCGTCATGCGGAGAACCCGCGAAGGATATTGGACCTAAACGTCCGCGCTACGATTCAGTGGCTCCGCGAGGCTGGGTATAGCGATAGACTCGCGAAGACAGAACACTTGGAAGAGCTAGTCCATGGCTTACACCTCAACGGTGACGACATGGACAAGGGCGAGGAATCGAAGAACAGGGAAGGCGATTGGGGAATATGGGAAGAGGGGGGCACGGGTGCGGAAGGGTGGGGAAGGATTGATCTCGAAGAGACGGACATTCCTGAGGTCAAAATTTAGTCAAGTGAAAAACGAAAAGCAATAAGACATATGGTAATTGGCTGGAGGTACATATAAGATTAAATTTCCATGTTAGATTGTATTTCTTCTTTCCCTCTTTTTCTTTCTTTTCTTTCCCTTGCTTTCTTTTTCTCGTGCTAGCGTATTTTGTTCGAAGTGCAAACAAAAAGCCACTTGCGCGGACCACTTTTTTGTTTTTTTACAGGGATTGTACTTGCAGAGATATGGCCGTTGGGAATCTATAGGTAGCCTTGTGCTGTATGACGTTACTATTGCGAATGAGAAGAGGGAAAGCCCATGCAATGAGACTGAACCACGATGCTCATCAAAGTTTGAGCCTTATTCCAACCTCACTCCTGCCCCCGCTCTTCGGAACAGCCATCGCTCTCTGCCCGCCAGTATGATAGCTGGTCCTCTCTGTCCACTAAGCAGTCATAAGAAAAAACAGCAAGCGATGAGTTAAAAAAAAAAAAAAGACGTCACAGCCCCTCACTCGACAGTGATAAATTTCTTCTCATTCTTCAACATATTAAGTTCACCGCTACATAATGATAATACGATAATTTGAAAATAAAAGACAAAGAGACAGATCTGAAACAGACAACAGGCGAAAAGATATTGATACGAAAAAAGGTAAGAGAGGATAAGAAAAAATAAAAAATAAAATAAAATAAAAAAGTACCCCACTTAGACCACCAATCTAACTGTTTGTTTTCGCCTTTGTTTTTCTGTTTCCCCTCACAAATGCAAACCCATTATAGTCCCCCGCCCGTACCCCTCGGCGAGAGCAACGTTGATCCGCCCGGGGGGGAACCGGACAGTCTGCCCTGCTATGGGTGCCCCGGCAAGCCGAGTTCGGACCCTTCTCTCGGCGATGGTGAGCGAGCGAATATCCGGCTGCGGGAGGAACTTGGAAACGTATTTTAGGGGTGGCGCGGAAGGGGGGAGTGAGGGCCTGCTGAGCCGTTGAGGGTCAGGGTGGATGGGCGGATGGGTGGCAGTGATTTCTGGTGATGGTGGGGGACTATGAATACTCGTTAGTAAGGTTATAAAAACAGAAAGAAATCAAAGCGGGCGGGGATAGGTAACCCTTTTGGAGATTCCTCGATATACTCTTCCGGATAATCGTATGCCCGTTCCCCTTCCTCGGCTACCTGTTCCACCCCCGGCAGAGGCGTACCAGCTCGCAGGGGAAACGCCAACTCTCTCTCTCCCTTCCCCTTCCCCTCGTCCTCTTCTCTCTCTGAACTCACGAACTGCTCAACCATTATTGTCAATTCCCCCGTCAATATCGCCATTCCCATCGGCGACGACACAAAGTCGCCATTGGGCGGGAATCTGAAACTGTGCGTAGGAACCTGGGAGTCGCCGGTTGTATGCAAGAGCTCGTAGGTCCTCGCCACAATCGTCATGTGCATTTCCTCGTCCACAAGCAAGACAAAGCAGAGTTCCACTGACGTCCCGTCCGGAAGGCTCTTTAGGAGTCTGGTAGGAAAATAGTGGATAGAGGGCATGACTTGGAGGTATATGAGGGGGGTGGTGACGGAGCGGAACGGGAGTGAGTTAGTTGGTATGAAAGCCAGCGGGTGGCGGAAGAGCGAAGGCGTTTATCATACATATAAGTATCTGGAGAAAGTCGAGAAAATACCTACAAGGAATCAGGCCGGCCGTCTAGAGCGATGCCGAGGGCAAGAAAGCTGTTCACTAAAGGCTGAGGCCCTGGCTCTTCTCCTCCCAAAGTGACAATTTTTCCCCCTTGCAAAAGGGCACACCTGCTCTCCACCGCAAGGCGAAATTTGCGAGTCTCCCCCCCCAAAGTAGCCAGTGGATGGGTTAAGCGTTTTGACAATGCCCTATCGACGTCAGCTGACATTGCACCGGAGTTGGATTTAAATGATTATCATAGGAAAGCTTTCTCAGAGAAAAAAGAGCGGAAGCCGTTGTACTATACAGCACAAGTATCAATCCAGCTGGTTGATTCCCGTTAGTCGATTACTCGGCTCAATAGGAAAATCCCGACCAGTCAAGAACTACGGTAACCCGCCCGCACCAACCAGCAACCACATATGCTACGCCACTGTTTCATGCGCAGTGCGTAGAGTACAGTGGAGTCTTTGCTGTTCACCACAGCAGCTACATCTTTTTCTCCGGTCTCGACATCTATACTGGCGCTCTCCCGGTATTGTTGTTCTCACAGAAGGGCGCTTTGCATAATTTATGCACTTTCCTACGACAAAGTTTTGTGGTTGGTCGCGGGGAGCCAACTCTCCCTACCATCAGGCCGTTGGCTTTGTCAATTAAAGCACAGCCATCATCAGAGCCCCACGTACTGCGACATCTGCCTCTTCAGGATCCCACCCAACCAACTCCAGCACTCTCCTCATCACCCAAAAGAAAAGGGGAGAAAAAAAAAAAAGACAGACAGCGGGCGTATTTCCACAATTAGCAGACAGGACCCCGGAGCAGCCTTATCGGTGTCCCTTCGGGTAAGGTAACATAAAATAAATTTTTGAATAAAAACAAAATTAACAGGTTCTCGGTAGAAGGCGTCCTGGCGGCCACATTCCCGACTACCTGGCCAGTCCAATTGCGAACTCCAGTGACGAGCGTTTCGTAAGTTGCTAATGCCCGCGCACAAAATCCTCACGGGCCCGACCCCGATAATACAAAACCATATATCGGGCATCCCGTCGTTGAATTACCACAGAAATGTGCGTTCCAGAAACCCTTCTCCGCTATGCATCGCATCGTGTGCAGCACAAGAACTGCATCGGGGAAAGGGCGGCGAATCCCTAGCCAGGAAATCACCTATCGTCCAACTCGAAGAGAGGACTCATTTCTCGGTCACTCCCCATTGTACCTTTAGCCTAGTCTGCTAGATGGTTTTTTTTCTTTCCTTTTTCCCCGTTTGAGGCAGCAAAGAAAATACAGGGCCAGCCACCTCGGCGCTCCCAGAGCCCTTGTACTCATCGAGTGATGCATTATGAACGTTTTACTTGCGAGAGACTTAAGCCTTTGGGTCAACACACCAAAAAACAGGGTTCTGCGATGTATAACTCGACTCGAGAGCAAGTAAGCCAATACCCAGAAAACAAGCATGTGGTTTGTGCGGATTAACCCAAACATTACTTCACTAACTCTTGGAAGAGATTTTTCATGACAATTCCATATAGCTAGCATTGCCTTTCCTATAGCCTACCTAGGCAAAAGTATTTCCACTCCTCCGATAACGCGCCACGACTGTTAAAACAATTTGGCCTCCTGCACTCCCTTACGAACAATGAGTGGGTAACTATCCCAGAGCACCAGGGCCCAATCTTATAGATTGCACAAAAAATATACGGGGGGCGCCCCTCTGAAGAGTCAACAAGTCCTATTCAATCCCCCCTACGTCTCAGCCGAAAATAATACTTAAATTCTCCAACCCCCCGAGTGCACTTGTGGAATATCCACTGTTCATTAAGACTCACGCCTCATATATGGTTACTCGCAATCCCTTTGCTAAGGTCAGAAAATGCAAATACCAGGACCACATCCATACCGCCAAACTCCAAACACTATTATGGCTACTCAACGAGAGCCTCTCTATCCTGTTTAAGCTCCCTCATTCAGACAAGATCTTTAATTTATCAGCGCAAAATCAACTCATCCTTCGAGGGGTTCCCGAAGGTGGGGAGGCATGCATCCCAACAAAAGCTTCCAGGGCATACATCTTGTCAGTGCCGTACCCATTCATTCGGGCGACTTCCTCACCCTCCGAACTGAACATTTTCCAGAAACTGCTCTCCCGTCAGCCCTACTTTCTCAGTGCAAGACCCTTCAAGTGCATAGGAGAATAAGAGGGACATTCTGACCGCGGATGCAGAGTCGAAAATCCAACCTCTTACACTCAAAGACCTCATAAAGCTCTCACCGAACAAACCCCTCAAGTGCTCAATCCCGTAATATCTGCCCATCCGGGGATACCGCATGGGCGAGACTCATACCTCGGGGCGCCCTAAGCCCTTCTTTGCAGTCTGGTCCTATCTCCCCCAATTTCACCGCCGGTACTCGGCTGATGCACATGCCCCGAATACCGCAAACCCATTCCAGGGAACCATACCTCGCCAACCGTGCCTTGTTGGCTAGTTGCCAAGTCGGAGCGCCATCTCAGCTCTGCATCTCTAGTAAAATTGCCGCAGCCTCCAAATAGCTCTCGAGGCCCACCAGTGCGAGGACATCGATTCAAGGCCCAGGCCCTTACATGACTATTGTAAGGTTAGTGCCTGAGTTAGCGATATAAATTCAAGGATCCCGTGGGTAAAGTGCCAAAAAAACATAATGCTCCCGCCCACTCCAAAGCCGTGAGACCAGTTGAATGTAAAGTAAAGAAAGCGCTCAGATGCGTGTGACCTTGGATAGTAACGGCCAGCTCCAGCATGCTCCATACCCGAGCGATCCTAGACCGCGTGCAATGCCCTAAGGTGATAGCGTTATATCCGGCAGGTCAGGTGGGAGTCGCTTTGAGTAAAGGTCTGACAAGGCAAGCTACACGCATTGCACATGGAAATTGTGCGGCACGAACTCCCCAATTCACCAACCCATCGCCGTCGAATCCAAAAAGTTTCCCAAGTTAGCCTCTCCGTACAAGAGCAGAGGGAACACCCACTCGTCCAATGTTTGAAGGAAGATGCTGACCTGTGGATCCTCTCCATGCCCTCTACAATCCATGTCCCTATCGTATCATACTTTCCCCATTGGCCCTTAGATGTTGATAGCATGACATAATCCCACAGAAGGAATAACAATAACACCCACACCTACCCACCCGTGGAAACAAAAACGAGAAATCTGTGATGTATGGATGCAAGTACGAAGTGCCGGAAGGGGAATTGATTCGGCAGAATAATAATAATAATAATAATAATAATAGTTTGCGAGCAGAGTATACCCGGGAAAGAAAGAAAGCGAACATTTTCATATGTAAAAAACGGGCAACAAAAACTACAAGAAATCACCGGGTGTCTAACGGAAGTACTACAGTGTAGTGATCAACAAATCTTAATTGAGGACGACAAAAAAAAAAAAAGACAAGTTTAATTATGATTGACAATATCTATATACATAATTCCACTAAGGCCACATGATGACCAAAATTTTACATGTTGATCTCCTCTTAAAGGAGCAAAGGGTAAAGCTTCAAGAATGCTAATTTGATGCTCTAATATTTTCAAACATAAAATAAAGAGCTAAAGGTATGATAATATATTAATAAATCAAAATTGAAGCAACATTGTTATCATGGTGGTGGATAGTCCTTCCCTATTTCAATTGTTATCAACAGTTCCTTCTCTTTTATATATCTACCTTCTACCTGTTCTTGAATTTCATGCATAAACAAATCCAAATACAGGCTTAAATCTGAAACTAAATTCTGTTCTCTGTGCAGCATTTCTCCATGTTTATTGGCCTTTCTTGTTATTGATTTGTTTCTGATTTTAAAGTTTTGATAACTTTTCTACTAGGTGTTCACTGAAGATAAAAAACATTTAAAAGCAAATTAAAATTCATAGGTGTACATGATAAATAGAAATCTCTCCTATACCACATCTAAAAATACAACATAATCCCCATAGTGTACCAATAAAAGCCCAGTTATTCTCCTTTCTTCAAAACAGAAATCTTTAAATCCTGAGATAAAGTGTATAGCTGTTTAAAGTATATGCTAAATGCCTTACTTTATTGCATTATAAAAAGCTTGCATCCAAATTCTGTAGCATAGTAAAGGGCTATTTAAAGTACCAGTTGGTCAATAATATTATCAAATACATAGCCATATACTTTTACTGCTCTAATAATATCTATTTATTTTTAGTATGATAAGTAAGAGGGAGAAAGAGTAGTAGGGTAAATCCTATTTCTTTACATACCTGGCTTGACATTTCTGAGGGAGGGCTATATAAAGGGGTCCATCACCCCTTTCTCCTTCTCTTCTTTCCTCATAAACTTCTTTCACCCTTTCTTCTCTCATATATAATACTATACATCATACATAACACCACACACAGCACCCCATCCGCACCATATAATACTACAACTGACATTATAAACAACAAGGTACTGGAGGGATGGAAATATAGGTGGGTTTGTGGGAGGGCATATATACTAACAGGAGAGATGGAAATACAGGTGAGTTGGTGGGAGGGAATATACTAACAGGTGGGATAGATCTATAAGTAGGTTGGTAGGAGGGCAAATTCTAGCATAGTAGATAGGAGAAAGCCACCTGTTTTCATCCATCACCTTTTTGGTAATCTGAGATGATTGAAGGGTAACATAAATCTCAAAAGAGAAGCCATAGTACCGTAAATCTATGTTGTTTCTACAACATAGATTTACTTTACAAAGGCTACATTCATCTTGGCTGTTTATTTTCAGGAAATAGGAAGTAGTATAGGTCTAATAACAGAAGTCATGTTCTAATATAATATTATTTACTTTACTCACTCGTTCATCATTGAAAATACACATACAATGTGAAGGCGTCCAGCAGGTTCACTTCCGGTCCCAACGTAATTTCCGCAGGTTTTACTCACATCATACTTCCATGAAAGGACACATTCCAAGCGATCAGCTATAAATTTACCACAGTATTATTCCCAGAAATGCCAAACATCGAAGGGGCCTTCCTTGGCGTCCGACAAAAATCTTACAAGAACTTCTGGAATAAAAAATAAAAATACCCACACGAGCGGCCGGTTCTTCAACTCATGTTGTTATCCACCGAAGTGCGAAATCCCGGATAAGATGAGCAAAAAAAAGGTCAAGTAAGTAAATAAAGGAGTGTGAAGAGAATCCCCCGTCGCACGGAATGGACGAGCGAAGAGTAAATACCTTGGGACGCCGAAGGGGTCGTTATAGCTATAGCTATCGTACCAAGATAGCGGTAGTGATACCGTCCCCCCCCAAAAAAAAAAAAAAAAAAAAAGTAACGATAC